GCCGACTGGACAAGCGCCAGGAGCACCAGCCAGGATATAGTGGCTCTGCGCACCTGGTCCAGCAGCAGGGTCCACCCCCCGAAATGGCTGGCTTGTTCGGTAGAATTCTTACTGCCGAGCCAGTCAGCCACAGGGATGAGAATGAAACCCTGTGGACTACGGTCCCATTCCAATGTTGGATGTGCTGGACCAGGTGCAATGAGCACAAAAAGGCGGTCAGCCACAATTGCCTTAATATGGTACTTGCCCACAACTACCCGAAATGTCCATTCTCGTCCCGCGCGGAGAAATGTCGTATGCAGAAGTGCGGAGATATGACGTTAAATAATAATAATAACAATTCTAAGCGTCTAATAAATCAGTGACATTTGAATTCAGTGTGTCGAGAGTTAGGTTACTGTGTCAAAAGTGCTCCGGAAAATAATTTTTAAAGACGAGGACGATCAAAAAATAATAGCTTTATTAGAAGAGCTGGATCTTCAAGAAGCATTGAAGTATTTAAGAGGTAAGTACACCCTGCATGTAAAAATATAAACGACAGGTCCAGATTCTTAAGTCCAAAATAACGCCTGTGTGGTTGCAGCTGCAGAAATCAACTATGTAAGCTTACGCTATATTACGAGTGAAGAAATTAAGGAGGCCATTCCCCCTTTGGGTCTTCGAATCATGTTTCGCGAGAAACTTTTTTCCTGGAGAAGCGAAAAAGTTATAAAAAATATGACAAGCAAAGGTAGAAATACTAAAAAATTAATCCTTATTCAGTTTGGTGGCCAGAAGACGACTCATAGATTTTCGCTTCTGACAACAGATAATGTCATTTAGACTTTTCCTGATAGAAGTGTTTTAAGTTCGGTATACGTGTAATTATACCCTTGCAGAGGGTATTATAATTTTAGTCAGATGTTTGCAACGCAGTGAAGGAGACGTTTCCGACCACATAAAGTATATATATTCTTGATCAGCATCAATAGCCGAGTCCATCTAGCCATGTCCGTATGTCCGATTCTATGTGAACTAGTCCCTCAGTTTTAAAGCTATCGCGATGAAACTTTCCCAAAAGTCTTCTTTCTATTGCAGGTAGTACATATGTCGGAACGAGCCAGATCGGACCATTATATCTTATGGCTCCCATAGGAATAGTAAGATTATATTTTAAATTTTACGTAGGCGTGGTGATTTTAAACAATTTGAAATCATCACAGCCAAAACGTATTCAGTTCAGTTGAGTTCAAAGTGTTCATGTGATCAGTTCAGTGCTCAGAGAAAAAAGTTTAAAGCTAATAAAAACGTGAAAACAGTTTTCTTCTTCGGCTCAACTATACAAATTTTTACAAATTATAAAAAATGCCGCGTATATCATCGACCTCCAAGGAACAACGCCGCAGAGCCGCAATAATTCGTAAAAGATTGCAATACGGTCGAAATACTTCGCAGATTAGGACTCGAAATGCCGAACGCATAACCTCGGCCCGCGCATTTAATTTTGAGGTACAAAAGTGTTGATATCCGAGCTTTCCCATAACGAGATTTTGAAATGAAATTATGGCTAATGTTGAAGGAGTGCGCACTGTGGATAACAACAATGTGATAGTACTATGTGAGAAATAATAGGAAATTTAACATTTGTGTAATTTGTAAATTAATAGGAATTATCTGCAAGGGTATATAAGCTTCGGCTGGCCGAAGCTAGCTTGCTTTCTTGTTTTATTTACTTTCAAATGGGAATTTACAAAAGTTTTATTTCTAAGAGCCTGTTGTCGATGTTCAAAAACTGTCCTAAAAGGAGATATTTATTTCAGTTTAAAGAAAATATAATCGTCGAGGATGTAATATTTAATGAAATTTTAATTGGCTTAAAAAAAATGTGGTCCGGAGATTTGTGTGTGTGGCCGAAGTTTTCGGAGTTCATCCGCAATACATGCATTGGCACACCGCTTCTGCACATACACAGCTTAAGTCTAGTACTCAGTTTGGCTAAGAGTTTTACTAGTCGAAAAATATTAATCTTTTAGTGTGACCGAAGTTTTCGGTGTTCATCCGCAATGCATGTAGCATGCTCTTACTCTCAGTCAACTGGGTTTGTTGACAAAAAGCAAACATCAACTGGCGCCAATTTTAAAATTTTACAAAATGTTGAGCCGACCTGGGTTGCAAGCCTTAAATTTGCTGTTGGCATGGCGATATGTATTGCCGCAACTCCTACAGGCAGTTTTTCATCGGATTTTGGGGTTTTCCTTTCAATTATTTTGTTATTATTTGTTAATGGCACACCGCTTCTGCACAAACACAGCCAAAGTTTAAATTTTTTATTCTTTGGGCCGCGGCTAAAGGCTTTCATCGGAATTCATCTGCTAAATCTAGTATTTTTTGGTATTTTCTTACTATTTCCTTAGCTCAACTGAGTACCGCGGTGGAAAAAAGTCCCAGCTAAAGCCTAGTACTCAGTTCGGCTAAGGGCCGGTTTCTCGAGTCCCTGTCAAAGTCCCTGATAGCTATCTGTTCGAAAAACTTAAATACCAGATAAACTGTTCGTAAAAGCAAATCCGCTTTCTCGACTACTTTAATTTATCTGAACGAGAAACAATTACAGAGTACTGTTAACGCACAGCATTGTGCTGTGAAGCGCAAAAAAAGGCGTGCTTCGATTATTTTATCAGCTGTTTGGGTATATTTTAAGGAAAAAGTCAGCTGTGATTTCGTTTCTTCTTCTTAGTTGGCTTTGGGAAATCAGCTGTCAATCTATCGAGTCGAAAACGCTTAACAGGGACTCCGAGTCCCTGTCAAAGTTAGCTCTCACTTTTATGCTCGAGAAAGCCAAAATGCCTTAGCAGGGACTTTATCTGTTCGAGAAATGTTAGCCGGCACTCGAGAAACTGGCCCTAAGAGTTTTACTAGTCTAAAAATATTAATATTTTAGAGTGACCGAAGTTTTCGGAGTTCATCCGCAATGCATGTAGCATGGTCTTACTCTCAGCAAACTAATTAACTGGCGCCAATTTTGAAATATTTCAAAATGATTAGCCGATCTGGGTCGCAAGCTTTAAATTTGCTGTTGGCATGAGGATATGTATTGCTGCAACTCCTACAGGCAGTTTTCCATTGGTTTTTGGGGTTTTCATTATATTTATAATATGTTATTGGCACACTGGTTCTGCACAAACACAGCCAAAGATCAAATTTTTTATTCTTTGGGCCGCGGCTAAAGGCGTTCATCGGAATTCATCCGCTAAATCTAGTATTTTAGTGGTATTTTCTTACTATTTCCTTAGCTCAACTGAGTACCGAGGTGGGAAAAAGTCCCCGGCTAAGGGCTTTAGCTACCTATTTGCCTCTCGCTTACTCCTATGCTTAGCTAGCAGTTTTCGTCGTACTGAGTACTAGGCTTTAGCTCAACTGAGTACCGAGGTGGAAAAAAGTCCCAGCTAATGGCGTTAGCTACCTATTTGCCTCTCGCTTACTCCTATGCTTAGCTAGCAGTTTTAGTCGTACTGAGTACTAAGCTTTAAATTAAAACTTTTTTAATAAATTAATTACAATTTGCGGTCACACTTAAAAAAATCAACCAGGTTTATAAAAGTGCGCTCGATTTCGATTTTTTTCGATTTAATTTTAGCATAGCGAATTCGTCGTTTACATGAATTTTACAATTTTTTGACACGAGAAAGGAAAAAGTTCGCTAGGTGGCTCTAGTTGTTAGGCTGCTGTCCCATAGATGGCGAAAAATAAAAGGTCCTTGGTCCGGTTGACCAATTAATAATATTTAAATAGATTGATAAAAATGGAAATTGTAAGCGCGAATCTTAATATATAATAAATTATAAAAATAACCCATTTATCCTACATGTAAGTGTAGAATGTTCTTAAGCGACACCTAGCGCTGGGTGATATAACTAGCACAATACTTATCAACAGATGGCGCTTTCCAGTTTCCAATTTTGTGCGTTTTTTCATCGAAATTGATAAATAATCAACAATCGATAATTGGCGCCGAAATGCAATGTACTTATCTTATTTAAAGGATGTGAACTTCCCATTAATAACACAAAAACACTTTAAATTCACATTTTTTATTTATAACTGTATCTGATTTCTTGCACAATTCTTGCGATCTTACTACACATTTACTACGCGCTTAGTTAACTAGTGTAAGTTTAGTTTAAAAAAAGATTATCGACCACTTCCTATGGCTTTTGGTTTCGTACGTAAAATGTAAATGCCGCCTACAGTGAAGCTCGCTGGCTGGAATAAAACATAGCAAATGAAAAACAATGCGCAACTCTTGGCTATCATATGGATATAATATGTACGTTTTAGTCTTGAATAAAGTAGTATTTAATCGTAGTTATGTACACATTCTGCGGGATGCGATATGAAATTGTACAGTACAGTATATACACAGTCGCTGTGATTGTGACCTAGCCTAATTCTACAAGAGTTCGCTGAACGGCTGCGATACCATACATATGTGTAAGAATGCGTCCGCTATAAATAGAAGGCACTATCAATAACTAACCCCTAGGGACTAACGCTATGTATCTTGTGTGATATCGGTACTCTGGAAACTGATATTGTAAGTACTAGAAGCTGGCTTGTCCAACAAATAGGATATGTTGTCGTTTTGAGAATCCAACGAAAGGAAATGCAACGGACTTTCAAATGGAACACAAAGTTGACCGAAATCTAAACACCTAAAGGTAATTTGGCATAAGGATCGCAACGCTCCTCGTCTAAGGATTAAGCAACACAAGACGGTCCCCTAAATCGTACGAAAATAAATAAAATCAAAATTTGGTTCGCCATTCAAAGAGATATAGGTAGGTGTCGGAAATAATATGTGGGAATGCGGGGGTCACAGGCGAAACACAGGCTATCACCAAATGCTTTCCAACTCAGACTTAGCCTAGGGCTTACTCACTAAAACATATATTTGGAATGAGGCTTTCGCAGAGCCATTTGATGACATTTGTAAAATTCATAAATAATCCGGTTACGGACGTCCATCGCCTGCCGTTGGCCTTGGGAATAAGTAGTCAAGTACACAGAGACAAGGTTCACACTTTCCGTAAATTGTGCCAAGTGTTTACAAATTTAAATGCAAAAATTGCGCTACGACTTCGGTTGGCTGGCTCCATTAACCTAATCCTAAGTGCTCCGACTTAGGTCTAGAAAACTTATCAACTTATAGCTACTGTACAGCAGTCGTTCCTTTTCAGTGTCTGTTTGTCTAGCCTGTGGATGTGTGGTACTTAGGGCTAAGTAACGTCTATTCTGTTGCTTGGAAACATATAAATTTAAATAATATTTATATAGCATGGCAAGTAATGCTGCTGCTACAATCCGCTCGTCTCTCTCTATATTGCACATGCCTCGGGGGAATCCAACTACTCCAACTCCTGCCGCCACTTCGTGTCCTGCCCCCGCCGCCTTTCCTGGTCCTGCCGCTATGCATGTGGTTGTTGGTGTCGCCGCGAAGTGGGCAACAGGAGGTTGCCCCTCGCATAGAAGTAGCCTCACAACTTGGAGCTGTCGTAGTTCTCGAGGGTCCACTGCTGGCGGCTGAGGCTCGGGTTGCACTCCTCCATCAGCAGCTTGTCCTTGCTCTCGCTGATGGCCAGGCACTTGCCGGAGGTGCCGTGGTGCAGCTGCTTGGTGTTCTCGCGGAAGGTCCAGAACTGGAACGAGAGTATTTGATTAGAGGAATGTCCACTATAGAGGTGGTTTCATACTCAGCTTAAAACATAAAAAGTAGCAATATGTTAGAAATAAATAGGGATTTTAACGTATATCTTAACTGAATTTTTTTTGGAAAAATAAAACCACAAATATTTGGAGATAGGGATTTTTACGTATATCTTAGCTGCATTTTTCCTGTATGTCAAGGATCACATAAATAAGTATACTATTTAAAATTTAGCTTTGCTTATAATGCGAGCAGATATCAAATATTTCACAGTCTTATTCAAGAGCACAAGGTATTTTTTTAACGCACCCAATTTATTACCATTTTCATATGAATTCAAAAATATGCTGATAAATGTCCCAAATAAAAATAATATTTTCATTGTATATCTCGAAGATTGCCTGTCTTCCTCCTCTACCTTTATGCATACTTTATCCACTCACCTGATTTCCTTTGCCGCCGTGGCAGCCGAAGAGCGTCACATCCTTGCCGGCGTAGTCGAGACAGGAGTCGTCGCGTCGAATTTCGCCCGCCTTGCTGAGCATCCAATACTGGGGAAATCGAGGGAAACACATTAATATAAATTGTAATGGCGGGGAATGCGTCGGTTGCCAGTTGCCAAAAGTTTTCCAGGGCTACAATCGCACAACTTATTACACACTAATGTTTTATTCAATTAAATGCCAGAAAGCAGCTCAGTTTGCGACTGTGTGTGTTTCAGTGTACATAGCCTAGTGTGTGTGTTTGTGTGGCTGTGGTCGTACCGTGTTTGTGTGTGTGAGTCTGGGTTTTGTCTGAAACTCGATGGCCATGATTATTTATAATTTAAAACACGTTGCCAATGCCAGATGGCCTGAGCTCGGTTCAGATTCTGCTGGTGACTGAAATTGCCTTTGTTTGCCCTGCTCTTGCCCCTGCCACGCCCCTTGATTCGCGCGCCCCCTTGGCGCTGTCAGGTCGTGACCAGCCGCCATTTTGTGTTACCATTTCCGTTTCCGCACCGCCAGCCGGATGGACCCCCATCTTTATTTTGTTTATAATGATGCCAGGACTGGAATAATGATGAGATTGGTCAGCACGGCAGAGGACCGGGGGTTTCGTACCATGAATAATTACTGTTATTGTATGACCGGTTCAATTAAGGCAGTTTCAAGGACTCCCTGTTCAGCGTTTAGCTCTCGTTGTTAGAATTTTCAAAAAAAATAGGGAAAATAACTGATGTTATGTCCTTTTTGGCTAGTGAGCTCTGGAAAATGGTTTAGAAAACAGAAACCAAACATTCCTAATGATTATTCGATTGTCGTATATATTCAGATATTTAATTTTCCTGCTCTATAAATTTCTTGTAAGCTTTGTCTTGTAGTAATGCACGTACAATCGGTGTACCCACTTTCACCGGCCGCCCAAGGACTTTTCCCTTTGCCACGATTGTACTTCGTGTTCATCCTCGCTTATTGTTTAGGCTTACAGAACCCCACCCACCACCACCCCCGCCCTTTAGCTGTCGTCCTTGGCGGTCTCAATTTGCATTTCTTTTATCATCGTTTTCCCCTTTTCCCCGCGCTTGTATTGCGTTTTCTGTGTGCGCGCGAAATGCGTTTTTAATTACGTTTTTTCAGCACTCCCCAGTTTTTATCTAGTGTATTTTTTATTTAGCTCCATTTTTGTCCTCCGACTGAACAAATTTGTTTGCGGGCTGCGGAAAAATATTTTTGCTGGCCTAGACGCGTTTTTTTCCGCATGAGAGGAATACTTCCATTATGTGGACAGTACTACTGACACCCTCGTTTTTTGTGCAGCTATCCTTTGACGTGGCAGTCGAAAGCGTTTTATTTCCCCTTTCGGCTGGGTTAGCTTGCTAAATTTTACGATGTGCGAAATTAAAATTTGCGTGCAAAAAGCGAAAGCACACCTCCTCCACGTCCGTGTTTCTGCCTGGCGAATGTTGATTACTTTAGCCGCATTTCCGAGTGCAAACAAACATTTGGGTAAATCTTTTTCGTCCTTTTCCCCCTTTAAATGTGGCTTCCACTTTGTAGCATTGTATGTGACCGTGTGGGGGGCGAGGGCTATGGGCTGTAGGCTGTGGGCGTGGCAGTTGTCTGTCTGGGGCGATTTTAGAGCAGGCGGAACGAGGTCAACACTTTTCCCCATTTTAAAAGTTGAATATACAATATTCTCATACATTCACATTCTGTGTGAGCTTAAAAGTATCTCAGCTTGTTTTTGATACTCGGTATTTGAAAAGAACAAGTGAGTACTGCATGATAGAGCTTGAAAATTATCGATGTTTTCGATATTTTCACAATATTGATTCGATAATATCGATGTTTTAAGGTGAAAACACATAATAAATATCGAGAAATGGCAATCTGTAGGTATTTTGTAAGCTCTGCTATATGAGTTAAAATAAATGTATTGTTACTATGTTCGATTAATTATAATAACTTTAAATATTAAAAATATGAAAATTAGTTGGCTTTGATTTAGTGAACACAATTTAAACATTTAATAGTATTATTATTCGTTAATAGACCGATTTTAGTTTATATACTTCTTTATAAGAGTAGCCAAGGTATATATTAAAAGGTATCTCGTAGTCTTGGCACTTAACGAGTTTATGTCTCCAACTTTTGGTGTCAGTTCGTGTGTGTCTGTGAAGGGTTCTATTGTTGCAGTTCATTTATTTGCATTTCTGTTGCTTGTTTCTTTGTTGTAGTTCAAAATACTTGTAACTAAAGCTCCTTTGTTTGAATTTTTGTAGTTTTAAATTGTGCTTGTTTTTTGTCTGGTTGAATGCGAAAAAAATGTAAAAGCTGAAGCCAAAGCCAATGCCATGTAAATGATTTATCATTCGGCATTTTATTTATGATTGCGTTTTAATTAATTTCTGTGACATGGCATAAATCCCCAAAAATGTGCAACTCTGTGTGTTGTGTGAACCAGTATTGTTACGTATGTGTGTGTGTGTAGTGTTGGCGCGCTTGTATGCATCCTGTAAAACTGTTAAATTGTCAATGCAATTTCAGTTGGCAACTTTTATTGATAAATACTTTCACTTATACTAGGCAAATAAATTGAATATGAATTGTTTGCCGAAGAGCAATAAATCCAAACTGTTTATGTACTCTACAGATATTTGTTATTGTAGCCACAAACTCCGTCAAAATTAGTGCTCAAAACCGCAGGACTTTCACAAGGGTGGAATTTAACAACGACAAAAATATTATTGTTGTCAGTTTTTTAAGGGAGGGATCCACTTAGGAAAAAACACCTTTCTAGAAGAGGACTTTTCCACAGGCACCAAAAATCAAAAACAAAATACAGGGAACAACTTTTCGAACGAACAAAAGGTAAGAAATTAGTTGAAGAATTTAGGATACAGTGTTTTAGCTACGAGAATTAATAGAAAGTTTAAACAAGAAACGTTTAGCGCTAACGAAAAAAGTGAAAAGTTAAGAATCTTTTTCGGTTAGAAAGTGTTGTCATATATCTATAGATAAAAAAAATAAAACAAAATATAGAAGTGTGTATAATAAAATGGTGTTTTAAAAATTGAACTGTTAAGTAGATAGGAAAATTATTTTAAATACAGGTTACGTTAAGTTATTCAAAACAGTTTTAATGAAGATTACTTCAAGTAAGCTTTAAAACTTATTAAAAAATGGTTTTAACAGTTCCTGAACCCTTTGGTAAATTGGTTAAGCGATGATAATGTTATGTGATATGACCTGTAGAAGTATTCTGTGGGGTGTTCAACTGTTATAGGGTTTAGGCTAGAGTTAATAAAGCAAGCGAAAAATTAACAAAGAGATACCAATATTAGAGAACGAAAGCGTCAGATCAAACACAGGAAGGTAAACAACCAAGGCAAAACACCGAAAGGGAAGGGATTTCCCCAAGCAACGAGATCGAGAGATCGGCAGACAGAAATCAGGGACTCTGAATCGCCGCCTCCGCCTTTCAGAGTTCTGAGGATGTGGACATGGAGGTGGATACCTGATTTCCTCCTTGGCCATGGCACTCATAAATGGAAACCGGCGTTTCCTCATCGGATTTCTCTTTCGCATCCAGGCACATGAGGCTGGGCCCGTTGGCGATCTGTAAATTAAGTTCACTATATAGCGGATCCGTCTAACAGCTGTTCAAGGGAGAAGATCTTAGAGGGGAAGCAAGACCCAATCGCCGGAGAGATATTAGTTGGGGACACTGTTTTTAGTAGTGGCAAGAGAGTGGAAGTGGAAAAGAGCTCGCTGTCCGAAGACGCTGTTCCTGGCGCGGTTTTCTGTGGCTGGACGGAGTTTGTGGCGGTCGCAGGCTGCCGTATGGCTGGGGTAACAAACCTGGTTTCCTCCCTGCCGATGGCAGGGATAAGTGCCCACGGCCTTCTTCTGGTGCTTCTTGCCAGCCGGTGCGTCCAAGCAGGTGCGACCGCCATAACCTAGGTTTCTTATCTGTGGATTGAGTTGTGTTTATGGGTTGTCGTTTGTTTTCGTTAGGTTTGGAATTTGGTTTGGGGTGGTTATTAGTTTGTTTTGGGACTCGGGGAAGGGTTAAGAATGTTATGTTATGAAACTCTAAGGACTTACCTCTCCGTGGGCAACCGAATCGCCGGGAATGAAGAGTTCGGGGTAGATGTTGTCCAGATACCACTTGAAGCTTTTGCACTTGAGATCGTTACTGGGGAGAAAAGAAAAGGGGTTATTCGTGGGATTTGGTATGCGCATTAAAATAATTGAAATAATTCAGGGATGATTAGAAAATTGTAACTTTACGAAATGGATTCCTTTGTATTACGAAAAGGCGATTAAAGGTTTTTAGATGGAATTTTATTTTAGCTTGGTTAGAATAAAACTATTTTAATGAAACATGGTATTTTCAGAAAAACCGATTGAATTTTAATTTTATATTTACATTTTTTTTAACAAGAAAATCAATTCATTTTATATGTTATAAAAATTGTAATATAATTTACTCTGCCATTTTTGGATAGTATGCATTTTAAATGACTTGAAATCCACTTACCGGAGCTTCCTACGATCGCTGACATCGCCCCAGTCGCCCTTGTCGTTGCCGATGCGGTGGTAATAGTACTGCGAGTACTCATCCATCCAAACTTCGGCCAACCGCACGGAGTTCTTCTTCAGCACATTCACGCCCGAACGCCACTGCAATTGAAGGGAACCAGAACGGCCATGAGTGGGTGGTCGAATGGGTGGTCGAATGGGCGCAGGGTGGTGGGGCGCAATCAGTGGACGGCTGCCGGTGCCGGAGTCAATGGAAATATTTGGTCAGCAAACAGAGTCGAGTGGAGATGGCCGCAGGACGACGAGGAGGTTGGTGGGGACCGAGCGGAGTGGACAACAAAGCCTAATTACCTGAATGAGTAGCTTTTGCTTAGTGGCATTAGGTGGCTCCGGCAGCCAGTTCTCAGCCCTTTTGCGGTTGTTCCCGGCCAACTGGCCATCTGTCTTGGCCACCCTTTGCTGCCTCCGCCCTTTGTCCCAAGGCCCGAACAATGTCCGCCTGTTGTATGTCTTGTTCTGTGTTTATGCGTTCACCGTACAGGTGTCTGTGTGCCGTGCTGCATTCTCGGACATTCCCGCACAGCAGGAAAATACTTGGATAGGAAGTGGGGAGGGAAAGGGTTCCCAGTGCTTGCTACTGACATTTATTGAAAACGCAGGCTAAAGCAGTAAATTGTGATGGTCTTTTGATTCAATATCTTTGCGATAAATGCACCGATCTGTTGCCATACCTTCAAACCAGTGTGATTTTGTTGCCTGCAGATAATCCTATTGAATTGTTCTGCTTTGTTTATTATGCCTCTTTGAGCGAGTTTAATTATAGCAATGCGTTTATAATTTGGCTACATATGGAATTAGGTTGGCCAAATTAATATATTTGATTTGCTTTCGGGTTTCATTAGATTTCAATCGTATTAGTTCTGTTTGTAATTAGTTGACGTTGTATGGCTGCATTTGCGTACGATACGGTAATTGCATTGAACAAATCTCTACTAAATTATTAACATTTTAGCAAAAATGTATTTTCCATTAGTATGAAACATGGCTCTCCAAAATTACAATCACTATGTGCCTATGAAGGTGAAAACATAATTAGGGTGTTCAATTGCGTTGCAAACTTTGTAAAGTGTAAAAGTGTATATCAATTCCAACAAGCATTTCTATACAAAATAGTTTTAAAGTCCTACTTTTGAAAACTATTTTGTATAGAAATTGTTGTTGGAACTGCCTTACACTTTTACACTTTACAACGTTTGGAACGCAATTGAACACCCTAAATGTGTTTATTTTTCTTGTATATGAAACTAATAATTCATAGTTCAACTATGGTCATCAAAAGTGCATGAACAAATAGTTTTTTTTTAATGGAGGTAAGATAAGATAAGGTTCTTAATATAACTTAAGAGTTCGTTGTCCAAAGGCTTTTCAAAAATTAATTACTTTTAAAATATATATAGCCTGCAAAGAAGGTTTCAAACTGTTACACACAAAAAAGAACGACGAAATCAAATCGATATGTGCATGGAAAATTTCTGGTACTTATGAGAATATCGTTTTTACCATGCAGTAGTGGTAAAATTGATATTAAATAGTATTATTAATTTAAAATAGATAGACCAACATTCGAAATTCAACCTGACTGGATCATCGTTTATTTATTTTTATACCCGTTACTCGTAGAGTAAAAGGGTATATTAGATTCGTGCAAAAGTATGTAACAGCTAGAAGGAAGCGTTTCCGACCCTATAAACTATATATATTCTTGATCAGGATCACTAGCCGAGTCGATCTAGCCATGTCCGTCTGTCCGTCTGTCCGTCTGTCTGTCCGTCTGTCTGTCTGTCTGTCTGTCTGTCTGTCTGTCTGTCTGTCTGTCTGTATGAACGCTGAGATCTCGGAAACTACAAAAGCTAGAAGGTTGAGATTTCGCACTCATATTCTTGGGCTTCCTACGCAGCGCAAGTTTATTTCAGCGGAGTGCCACGCCCCCTCGAACGCCCACAATCACCCACTAACGATTTTAAAATGTGTCTGGCGCCCACACCTTTAAAGATTTCCGAGAAGTATAAATGCAATTTTGTTGTGCATATTTATACCTATCGAAATGTAGAAGACATTTTTCAAATCGGACCATTCATTAAAAAGTTATACGCAATCAAAAATTATATATCTATCTCCCTCGCACTCCCTTTAGCTGAGTTACGATTATTAGTCGGGACACCAACCCGAGTACAGCGTTCGCACTCCCTTTAGCTGAGTGACGGGTATTAGATAGTCGGGACAACAACCCGACTATAGCGTTCTCTCTTGTTTAAAGAAATTTTCTACTGTATAGATGTTTTCTGCTCAAGTAAGGTCAGCCTTCCTTTCCATTTCTTTTTATCACTGGTGATTACCGAAGGGACAACAAACTCCCCTGGGATTTGGCAGGTGTCCAATTGGTTAGTTCCACTCCAGGAGTATTCAGTATTCTTGTGTGTGGTGTGTTACGCCATTGACATCAAAACAGTTGCCAAACTTTTGTCAAGCGTAAACCGTTGATAATTGAAGCTGGCCCCAAAATGGGAAGATCTAGGGGAATAATGGATGGTTTGTGTGGGGGATGGGTGGCACAGGCGGAGTGAGTTTGGATGGAATCCCCAAACACAAACACACACAAGCACCATCACCATCACCGTATACCATGTTGCAAAGACAGCCGCAATGCATGTCCATGTCAGTGGGTATATGTGAGTCCATGTCGGTGCCTTGTGTGCCATGTTGCTGCTCTGCGGCTGCCATTCGGCAAGGGGAGAGGAGCGGATCGGGGGAGCGGGTCCATCAGGATTGGGCCAATGTTGACCAAACACGAAGCTCTGGTCCGGACTGGTAACTGGTCCTGAGGCTGCCCACACATGCTGGCTAAGAGTTTTAAATTCCAGCAGACCCACTGCCATTCCTTAATGAGCAATGGGTTCTGTCTACCGGAATTGGTTTTCGGTCTGTCCACAATGATTTGCTATTTTCTGTGCGGGGTTTTCTTTTCAATAATTGATCGATGGCACTTACCTTGTACGGCGAACGTTTCCGGAAGATGTGGCCCACGTGGGAGCAGGGCACGATCTCCAGGGTGCCACCGCACATCCAGGTCTTGAAGGACAGCTCCAGATTCTCGCCGCCCCAGATATCAAATCCAGAATCGTAGGTTCCCAGTCGTTCGAAGAACTCCCTGTCGATGGAGAAGAGTCCGCCGGCCATTGTGGGCGAGTAGACGGGTTCGGCGGAGTTCTGAAATGAGGAGAAGGCATGGAGAACCGATGGTAAGAGAAATTTCATTTGGCTAATTGATACTCGGCAACGCCGAACCAGAGATAAACACTGAGGAGGATGTGCCACAAGTGGCAGAGCACCTGAGCAAACTTTTCGCAGTCAGCCACCCGCACTTTTCCCACCCAATCTCTTCATCTCTGTGGGTTTCACAGAGTTTTCTGCCTCCCTGCTTTTTTCGGTTACTTTCAACAGCTTGCCACAAAATACTTGAGGCTACGTTTTATTTAGTACAACATTTTCATTGCTCTTTCTTTTGGGGGCTATCTCTTTCACACTTTCCGTCTGCTTTCTCAACAGAACATTTTGTTGTAATTGAATACTTGGTCCAGGGCCCTGAATTTCGCTTTTGATAGCATTTAATTGGAGAATTGGATTCTATGTTGCAGTGCAATTTAATATTTGGTTTTTCTGCTTTTGCCTGTATTTGTATTTTTGCCTGTGTTTGCACTTGTATTTATGCCAGCAGCCAGCTGTTATAAAATAATTAAAAATAAATAAAGTTTCGCATCGGTTTATTGTTGTGTTTTGTTCATTTCTGAGTATGGAAAAATAAGTTTAAAGCCAAGCAAAATAAAAAATTTAAACAAAAAGTTACTCTCTTGTGGACATTTTCTGGGCTTTCTTAAAATGTACAAGGATTGTATTTATTTTATTTATTTGCTTCATTATTAAATTTGAACAATAACTTTTCATTTTATCTTAACAACCTGTAATATTTATTTTTTTGTTCACGTTTCTCGCCAGACCATAAAGTTCTTTAGCCACGGTTTTAATTGTGGCGTAATTATTAATAAATTAACTGGAAATGCGTGCTTTTATTCACAAATATATTTATTGTGATTGCATTTCATTTAATGGATTGCTCGCTGGGGAGACATCATAATAATTTTCGTTATTGCGAAACAATGCGGAATATGCGACAGAGGTCGCAATCAGTACTTATTGCGTATACGCAGCGTGGCAAAGGCCAAAAGGATACAGTCATGGGGGTGGCTAAGCCAACAGAAACAATTGCAGGACAAGTAATTGAGTTTCATGGACGAAACGAAAAAACGCTGACAAACTTAAAACGGAAAATGGCAAAATAAATGAAATTGTCACGGCAAAGGCCCAAAGGGAAAAGGCGGGAAAAAACGGGGAAAAGCGATGGCAGTGAGATGAGTGGAAGACAGCTAAAAACGTGTAACTTAAAGTCAACAAGAAGTACAGGGGATTCCAAAAAATATCCGGCTGCCGGACAACAAAGTGAAATCTCCAAACGCGACAAGTGCCATTGTCCTTTTGCGGAGGGAAATCCCGCAGGGGACGGGGAAAGGTATGTCGGAAAATTCGCAGTGTGACATTTAATAAACGCCTGCAAGGGCTCACTGAAAACCCTAGGGGTGGGGTAAAAACTAAAAGGAAAAGCCCAACAAATATGCGAAACGCACCGAAGGAAGGGGAGGGCAACATTTTACTGGGATGCGGGCGGCCATTTTTTGTTGCCACCGGAAGTGACAGAACAAATAGCAAAAGTGAAAGGCTTCAAGGTGGTTCCGGGGGGCTGCAGCCGTGGTTTTCTGCATGCGAGTGTACAAAGATTCCTTTTATTGTTATAACCCACACCAGCTTCTGTTTTATTTTTTTGCGCTCTTCCTGTGTGTGTATCCGTTTTTGCTTTCCGCCTTCTCCGCTCGGGAAATGGAAGTAAAAGGCACAAAAAAAATATGTATATTTATATGCATTCAAATAAAAAAAGTTTCGCCTGAGCGAAAATAAACTGAAATGAAATAAAATGCAGAGCTGAATAAATAAATATACACGAAAATATGAGTGAAGCGTGCTGCCGCTGCTGCTGCAGTTGCACTTGCTGTTTGTGCAAACAACGCGGCAGAACTTTTCGCTTTTCCAAGCCCTCTCACCCCTTTCATTTCACCCCGCTTTCCCCATTTTCCCGTTGGCCCGCATTTGTGTGTTTGCCATTGGCTGCATATAATGCGGCTTAAATGATTTAAAAGCGGGCAAATAAACGCAATTTTTATGGCCGTGTCATGTGGCGTTTTGTGGGTGCAGAACGTAAAGAGTAAAATCATGGCACCACCAAAGAAAGTTGGCAAACATATTTGAAAATTAAACCGCAGCTACTATAAACACACAAAAATTTAATTGGCCTACCCTCAGCAGATTGTAACATTCTTTTATTCAAAGAAAAAATCAGCAACAAATTATCTTTTGTTTCACAGCATATTTGTAAAATGATAAATTAATTTTAATTATGTAAATTACATTTTAAAAGAGTTGACTTACAATTGTTCCTATAACAAACAAATAAAAAAAAAAATTACAAAATATAATTGCATTTTTAATTGTTTTCTGGAAACAAAGTATATTCCCATTAAAATACCATGTTCAAATCAATCAAAGGTTTTACATTTCAGCGGATAAAGTGCTCTTCAATCGACCATTAAAGCCGCAAAATCCACAACAAAGTTGCAAAATAAATGTTCTATAGCCAATTGTTCTTTTCACGTTTCTTTTCCTTTCGGGAAATTTATTTGTCCCTAATCCTGCCATGCGGCCCACTCGAGTTAACTTGTTTAAACAAAGATTCATGGCCGAAAACAATCAATTTTTCCTGAGAATCGTATAAACAACATGCAAAAGGAAATGGCAAATCCGTGGCCGAGATATAGAGCTTAAAGTGACAAAACGTCAAAAGTAACTTGGCATATTTCCCAGGCACTTGGCATACATATTTGGATATCAAAATAAATCACCGGGCATTCATAATGGTTAAAGTGTGTGACACACTTTATGATGAGAAATGAAGGGCGAATCTCGAGGGCGGTTAAGTGCCTTTCAGGATCAGCTCAACCGCAAATTAAGCAAGCGAAACCTCAGAGTGCGGTTGGGTTTTAAAGGCCTGGCTTTGTGAATAATGTGCTAACCTGCTGTGGCTTTCAAGCCAAGACGGCTAAGAAAACCAAATCCACCCTTCCACCTCCCAAGTTCCTTCAGCCGTAAAACTTCTTCGGCGGTAGCGGCATCAACATATCCACATTAACATCAAATAAAACAGTCACGTCGAGCGGCAGGAGGCGCCAAAAAAATATGCCCAGGAATATCGTAAATGTCAGAGGAGCCTTAGGGCTGGGTGGTGGGTCTAAGGATGTCTTGAGGATGGGTGGATTCCCTACAGACACGCACCAAGTGCCGAAAGGTCTCTTAGCTCACAGCAGGCAGCGGTCCAGGCGGTAGCAGGCGATGATAATGTTTAAAAAATGAAATAGTAGGGGAATACTAATAGGAATATACCCTATAAATTCCAATTTGCAGTGCTTAATATCTATTTTTGTTTGTCCTAATACAAAAAAACAATTGACAAAAGATTTGATTTTTGTAGATTAATTTGGAATTTTTTAAAGATAAGTAAGACAAGTAATTCATATATTTTGAATAAAGATTATGTTTATCCTATTTTACATTATTTGTTCAAAAAATACTAACTTTGGTATTTTAAAACATTATAATTATTTATTTTCTAAAATAACTGATATGATAAAATATGAAGTTGATATGTTTGAATCGTAATTTTGACATATTGGCTTTTTATTAATATGAAATAAGGTAGGTTTCATATCGAAAAAGATGTTTTTTTATTCATTTGTTAGATATTTTTGATATTCCTCGGGCATTTAAGGAACTTTTCTTAAAATTGGTCTTCCTATTAATTCCAATTCCAAGCTAACCATCTTTCTGCTACCCTGTAAGTGGTTATATGTAATGCTCGAAAAAATAAAGAAGACGTTGGCGGTGGGAAGCAAGACACGCGCAGCAAAAAAATGAATATAACGCTGCTTGACATAATGTGAAGTTGACTTTGACAAGTGCTTGGGCCGCGCCACGCCCCCCAAAGGAAGGCGGCACTTCAAACACTCGCACACACATGGATAGAGGATTGAGGATACAGGATGCAGGATACTGAATACAGGATACAGGCAGTATCTGCGAGACGGCAAAGTGGCAACTTAGCGGGGCCAACTTGAGAGTTTCATACGCTCGGCTTGCTATTTGCATTTCGAGTCAAGCACCAAAAAGTCGCAATCTTCGCCAAAGTTAATAGTTGAGGAGTGCTTCAGGTCAATGGGCGACTGAAAAGTGGAGGAAGCGGAAGTGAAAATGGAAGTGGAATCGGGATAAGTAGCCTTGGATCTGCGTGGATGTATCTACGAGCTACAATTTGGCTTATTGCTCGAGTGCTGCCAATCCCTTCCGTTCTTTTGAGTCCTGCTCAACCCATTCGGCATCGCAAACGAAATCAGGCTGCTTAAAAACGTATTTAAATGTTTAATGTAGCGAGCACACACACACACTCTCACTGGGAACAGGAGGTTAAGGTAAAAATTAGCATAAAAAAGTTGTTTCAGAGCTCTGCTGATTTTGCTTTGATTACCGGTTCACTGGACTGTTAGCAAATGCTTAACCGCCCCAAACCCCCTTTTAAAAACCCCTTAACCAACACCATCGCCATGAAAGGGAAGATAAAAAGTCAGGGGCGTAGAAGGTGACCTGTGTGTCCTGTAGATTTTGTTTTCAATCTACAAACTGTATAGCCTCACCTTTTGATTTGTGAAAAATCCGCTTAATCCTAAATTAAGAGAAATACACATTCAAAGAGCTGAAGCCTTAGTGATTCATCAAAATAATCCATTGGTTGCTATTGATACTCATTGCTGCTGGAATTTTTTAAGCTTGCCGACTGAGAAAAGTACCAAGACGGGATTTACGAGAACAAAAGCTGGATTAAGTCTTCCGCCGTTTCCATTTACCTAAATCCCTTTTTCAACCCCTTCCTGGCTGCGCCCCTGGCAACGAGGGGGCTGTAATAAAAGGCAGGGGCGATTTGCAGGCGCGAAAGCGCGTGCACAAAACTTTGTACGTTTTTAGTACGCAGCGCATCCTGGCGCGAGATCCTGGAG